TCAACAACATAACGACAGCAGCACTCACCTACAGAGATTCAGTAAGAGAACATGCTCTCCAGCGGCCAGCACAGTGCCACACACGCAGGGAATGACCACTACGCTGCAGTGACTGCAGTTTCAACAAAACAGAGCCAAGGGGGAAGGTGGAAGCAAGGTGGGACAGGGCTGGGGTGGGGGAATAAAAGACTGGATGTTCCACCGGGCTTTCTGAAGTCCCATTCTCCTCATCTGTAAAGCGGGGTTGATAACACTCTCATCACGTAAGTGAAATCCAAAACAAGAAGAACGACTGGCAAACAAATGTTTAAATAAGTAATTATTTTTAATTTTAACATTATTCACAGGAAACAGATAATTCCAAATCCAATTAACTCCACAATCCTTTCACCGTTAACCCCTAGACCTATTCATCCAAGGGTCCAGTTTTTAAATGAGCATTTCTTTCAATTACATTGAAAATGAAACTCTGTGGAAACTTGCACTTGGAATTTCAGACTCTTGTATTATCCCTTAAAGTGCTGCCATTCATACTTCAGTTTTGACTAAAATAAAAAGCAGCAGCAGCAGCAACTTGCCAAATTTAGAAGAAAGTAGAGAAGGTATACCTGAATAAGTCTTTATTAGACCTTTTCTTGGCCAATAAAACTTTAGGGGGAAAAAAATCACAGGATAGACATCTGTTTCATCTTTTCCCATCTCCCACCAGTTCCAAATCCCTCTTCCGTAGTCACACTGCTGACATCACTTGCCCTACTTTGCACAATTCACCAAATGCTTTCATAAGCACTGTGTCTACCAAAATGTGTCATTTCTGTTTTCAATAAAATCAAAAAGACTGAAACCAAAAAGCACAATAGATTCTTTCTTTAATCAGTGTCAAAGACATCTATCTTATCACAAGAATGGAAAACTAAGTGACAAGAAAGTAAAACTTTTGGATTAGTGAGCATCAGCAGTAACATGAAGGACCGACCCTAACTCTCGACGTCTGGTGAACAATCACCACTCTGAAATTCACTACCGCCAACCAGATGGGAAGTGCCATGGCAGCATCTTCTCACCAGAACACTGCTGAACTGGTACTCAAAGCCAATCCTTAAGGATGTTATACGGTAACTTCACAGAAACCATACAACATCCTTTGTTATACTGCAAGCTCTAAATCGACTATCTTTCCGTATTTCCATTACATGGTCCTGTCCATAAACATCTTGTTTATACTAATTACAATACAGCCAACACCTGTTTTAGCCAAAAAGATCTTTTTTTTCTTATGAATTGTCCCAGGAAATTGTTAGTCTTACAAAGAGAGGAAATACTGCTTAGTGGCCCAACGTAAAGGGGGGATGGAAAACGGAAGGTCAGACCTGATTGTTTCACCGCCTGCATTACCGGGAAGCTGCAGTCATCCGGCCACACATACTAGTGGATGAGGTCCACTCGCTTACCCTGTCTGTACTGAACGCTGCAGTACAGACGGCTATTTGGAATAGGCCTTTCTAGGAAGTATTAGAGCAAACTCAGTCAGGTGTCCTTTATGGTCTGTATTCAAAGACATGCTGCCCATGCCATGACTGGGGTGTTTGTGAAGGCCACATGTGTGTATGCCTCAATCTTCTCTATGCCTCCCCCTTTCCAGAGCAGGAATGAATGAATACATGACCCTGTGTGGAGCTTAAGTCATTTAACGGTAACAGCACTTCTGCACAGTGAACTACAACCCACTACTTCACAAATATCATCTTAACCCAGTGTTAACCAAGGCGAGTAGTGTTTTCACTATATTTTGTAGACATGAGTCCAAAAGATGAATCACTTGGCCATGCCTGCACAGATGTGTTAAATCAACGATGTTTTCCCCCATCAGAAGCATGGAAATCTTTGAGTGAGAGTCCAATCCTATGCACTTTTTTTATAGATATGGAAGATGAGGCTCAGAAAGCTAACATAATTGGTCCAACATCACACAGCTAGACAGAAACAATCTCTGAAACCAGAAGAAGCCATGCCTGCTGATTCTGTATTCTCTCCTCCTCGGTCAGGAATTTTCCTTTCAAAATAGAGTTGTTAAATCCTGGATCACCCCACTGAATGCACGGGTTGACCTTCTGTTTGTTGCAACAAATTCCCCTAATTTTTTTTTATTTATAAAATGGGGACAGTAAGTTGTGTGGACCCTGAGAAAGAAGATATCTACTAAGAAGGGCTCCTGGTGGCTAGCTGGGCTCAAATTTTTAAAAACTGAGCCCAGCCCTGACCGGTGTGACTCAGATGGTTGGGCACAGTCCTAAAAAGCAAAGGGTCACTGGTTCATTCCCAACTGGGGTGAGTACAAGAGACAACAGATTGGTGTTTCTCTTACATCATGTTCTCTCCTCTTTCACCTCTCTAAATAAATATATAATATATATATATATATATATATATATATATATATATATATATTTTTTTTTTTTTTTTTAAAGAGTCCAGCAGCCATTTCTACATAGGAGCCTCACTTAAACTGCACTTCAGGGAGAAGCCTGCACTGGAATACCTGCCTCTGCACTGTACACCTTTCATCGAAGTCAGCCCTTATAAAGGAGTTCCAGGAATTTTATTTCAACCAGTAGGTATCCATGCAGCTCTATCTTCATCAGCTCCTTTACCAACCAATCAGGGCAGCTTTGTTCTGACCAACCAGGATAGAGCCTTTTGTATCAATGAAAACATTGAGGATTTGGAGTCCTCCTTTGCATTAGAATGGACCAATCAAGGACCAGCAGCAGGGACTTCTGTCTATATAAGTCAGCTGCCCCCTTGATTTTCAAGCACCCTTCCCTTCCCACCTACAACTACTTTAGGCTGAGCTGCAGCATCAAATATCTTGCTGACTGGGAGCAAAGCAGAGTAGACCAGCAGCGTGAAGAGCAAAGACGTCTAGCCAGAGAGGGGTCCGGCTCCATGGTTGCCTCACAGCTGGCTGTCAGTTGTTCCACAGACAGCCCTACTGTGTCACAGCTGAGCTGTTTTGCTATGAGTAAAGTTTCCTTCTTCACTGCAACCCAAGTTGGGGATTCCTGTCCATGCCAACAGTTGCTACCAGGGTGATATAGACGTAAAACGGTTAGAAAATACACAAAATGTGTATTGAGTTTCAGATTCTAATTTCATTTTGGTACAAAAACCTCTTAGAGGTTCTTCATAATCACCACACCATTAAGTGGAATCCAAATATTCCAGATTGTGAAATACTAAGAGAGAAATGTCCAAACGCAGAACATGAGAACTGGAGATAATTCAAATCCCACAATAGACCATGTTTGTTCAAATTATTGACAAAAAATGCTTTTAATTTAATATCCTGCCAAAAAACTTTTAGGCTTAAGTGTAGGCCCTGATGAGTCTGCATTTTCATGCACAAGCTTCTTAAATCCCAAAAGCACAGCAGCAATTAAATGGAACCTTCATTCACCTACTACTGGGCAATGTTCCCATCACCCAGCATTTTTTCTCAGGTTGGACAAGTCCTGTGGGGACACTGATATGTAGAGAAAGGTGAAAAATGCCACCTCTGCTAGAGTGGCAGAAATGGGGCTTAATAAAGCCCCATTGGTTTAATACTCCCAGGGCAGCAAAGGAAGGTCTGGAACAAAATGGAACAGGGAGGAGAGGCCACTCCTGAGATCACTAAGGCTTTTCACTTTCTTTGGGAACTTATGCAAGATTCTTTCCATTAACCCGGAATCACAAAGCTGGTTGTTTATAACTAACATTTTTAAAATTTAGTCCATAATTTCAGCAAGAAAACATAAACAGGAAAAAGCTCTATCACAAATGACTCCCATCATTATTCAAACTTGAAATTTGTGTCCCAGAAAGATAGCCTGCTTGAGGTTCAAGGTGCCAGTATTCTAATGAGAAATTAGTTCTCAGCTCAGCAGGTCTCAGCTGTCACTTCTAGAGCAACAGGCTTCAAAACAGGGTGGTGATGGCGCCTAGGGGCCGCTGAAACGCCCTCCCCCAGGGCAGTGGTTTACACCCGCCCGGGAAGGGATTTTGTGCACAGGACAAACTTTGGTAGGGGAAGAGAGGGTGTGTGTCCTTGTCTTCCCCAACCCTTTCTGAAGCGGGCAGCTTAGTTCCAGCAATGAGCTAAGATAAAGCTCTGAGACAGTGTTTATGTACGAGAGAGAGGAAGTAGAGTGTGTGCAAATTTAATGCTTAGCGAGGAGAAAGTAGCAGATCTCCTATCTCAAAGGAAAGCCTGGCCAACAACTCCTTCTGACCACCAAGGCCTTTTCCCTCCCCCACTTAACCTGCTTAACCTCTCTCCCCACCCCCTACCGCCTCCCCAGGAAAAGAGGCAGAAATTAAGTCTATTTTTGCGTTTCCTATGACCTGGAAAAACATGAATCCATTTGCTGGGTTATAGACATGCCAATCGCTCTCCTAGCTCCTTAGGCTAGGATGCAAGGGGGGAGGGGGAACAGAAAGAGCAGGGCAGTGGCGATGGATTCGGATTTAGGTAAGGTGTGCCCTAGTCGAAATCGGTTTCCCACTAGTAGGTTTGGATCCACCTAGGCAGCGCCGCTGGAGCGGACAAACGACAAAACACAGTTGCAGGGTCTACGGTCTCCGGAGCCGGGGCCACACTCCAGGCCGGGAGCCGGAGACCCTTGGACGCACCCGCAGGGTCCAAAGAGGCAAAGCAGGGGATGCCCGGGTAGGTGAGAAGTCTGACTACCGCACCGAAAGGGGAACGAGAATATGCACGGCTAGCCCTTGGCACCCTGCCCTTCCCGGAATCCCACCCAATTCTAGAAATCCACAGATCCCGAAAATTCCGAAAGCGAAACTGCAAGCAGGTCTCCAGAAGTTTAAGAACCGTCGTCCCCCAGGCTTCCCGGCATCGTCTCCGCACCACCAATGCCTTCAAACACAGGCGCCCCTGGGGTGGCAATCGCTCCCGCACAGCCACCCTCCACGCCCCCAGGGCACTTCCCTCCGTTTTTTACCGTAAAGGTCCCCAGCCCCGGACGACCGGAGTGCCCAGAGTCTTCCCCGCCCCAGAACACAGAGCGGTGGTCGGCGGGTTCCTCCTGCTCCTCCCCACAATAGAGGAAAACTTGGGCCCGACGAAAATCCTGTGGAATGTTCTTTGTAATCTGCTGTACGTTCACTTCCACGGCAAAGCTCGGTACAAAATCGCGGGGTCCGGGGCGCTGGAGGAATTGTACGCTTGTCAGGGGCTACGTCAGGAGGAGGAGGGGAGGGGTTCCCGGCTGCGACTGCAGTTCACAAACACAGAGCCATTTTAGCCTGGTTTCCACTTCGGCGAAGCCCACGAGAGAGCTGTCCCCAAGAGGACACACCGGTAGCGCAGACTGGAAGCTCCGTGGACGCGCCGCGCGCTCCGCCCCGAGAGGCGGAAGGAGTCTTAGCTGGAGTGTCGCCCATTGCTCATCTTCGCCGTGAGAAGGAAAATCTGCCGCAGGGTCTCCAATTCCAGTGACGTTTACCCCCGACCCCCACCCGCGGAACACCGCGAGAGACAGGCTTCTCAGACAGCACGGCGTCTAAGTGGGAAGGACAAGACGATCCAATCGATCCTCACCCCTGCCCTCCCCAGGGCCCTGCAAATGCCCAAAGACCACGTTACTGCGTTAACTACAAACCTAACCGTGTCGGTGCACTTGGCACAGATGCCATCAGGTTCACCAGCCTAGAGAAGGTCCCCTAGACAAGCGATCCCAGTCCCCGGGAACCGTGCGTGCCTGCCGCATGGCCCTGATCCCCCGGGTCCCTCTCGCAGCTGTCGCGAAACCTCCGCTCGGTCTCTGCATCCTGGCCACTGGCGACCCCTGTTGGGGACCCCTGTCCACAACTAATGGAGCTCGTGTTTGCTGGCTTTCCCCCGGGCTCCCCTTTCAGGCTCCGACTTTGCCCCCAGACTCCAGTCCCAGACCCTCCCCGACCCTGGATCCAGCCTTCCTACCCCCCCCCACCCCTGCACCTTGCCACCCACTCAAACCACAAGGCGACAGCCCCGCCCGTTAGCTGGGAGGACGCCAGTCTCCTATCGAGCCCTCTAGGAGCAAGACCTGGACAGGAGACACTTTCTTCCCAGAACGCTTTCCCCATCCCCCACCTTCCTTACAGCGCAACTCCAAAGCAACTCCTCGCCTGGACCCTACACGCTTTTTGGAGGAGGTCCGAGTATCCCCTCTTTTCTGTGGTTCCACTGTCACGCTCCCCAAGCTTCGGCCCCGGGCGCCCCATCTCCCACCCCACCGCCGCGCGAAGGGTAGCAGGAGCCACCGCTAAGTGCAGCGAGCCCCCATATATGTACACACAAAACCCCACAGGCGTCTGCAGCCCGACTGCACCCAATACACTGGATCTTTTAATAAGTCCTTTTAAAATAGCACCTCCTCGCTTCACCCTACTCCGGGCTTTATCGCAAGGGATCCAGCATACAGAGAGAGAGAACGCTAGCGCGAGAACTCCTCACATAAAAAATACGAAATAAATCATTCTTTCTGCCCTCATGTATTTTGCACCACGTGTCAGCAGTTTGTCACGTCAAATCCTGGCAGGGTCTGGTTCCAAGATGCACGCGTACACACACTGGGGCGGATATCTTTGACACCCACGCTGCCCCCTCAACTGCACCCACAGGTATGTACCCTGATTCAAAAACACGCAGCCGTTGTGCTTGGATGCCCCAGTCCCGGCCGGCGGCGCCCCTTTCCCCTCCAGCAATGGACACGCAGACTTTAACCACGGAAAAAACGAGGGCACTTCATTTCCTCTCCTTTTTCCCACTTAATTCGCTAAAGCAGCTCCTGGAGTAGGCAAAGAGAGTCGAAAGTAAGGGATGGCAACTCCAGCGGGGTTTTTTCCCACTTCAAAACGTTTATTTTCAGTTCTTAAAAGCCACCTTGGCCCGCCATATTGGAACTGGCACGGTTTCTAAATACTCCTTCCCCACAGTTGTAGAGCTTCCAAGAAAACACAAGCACCGACCGGGCTCTGGACATGAGTCCGGCCACCGCGAATCAACCACTTCCCACTCCACTCCCAAGGCTCCCCCTTTCCTGTCTTAATCTCCTCTTCCACCCCGGGTCAAAATCCGTAAGTATATCTAGCAGTTCCTACAGTTGGGTTTTTTTTTTTTTTTAGCAGATTTTTTACACACACACACACACACACATTAAAAAATAACTCCAAGGCCAGATTAGATTAGTAATTCTGAAAGAAGGTCACATGCGAGTAGACAACAAGAAAGGCCCAAGTGACAGTATATTACTTAAAAATAAAAAAGAAGAACAAAAAGATCATCCTTGCCGGAGCACGCTCCGAAACTACTACTGACAATTTCATTTCAGCTGCACAGGCAAATGTTTCCAAGGGGGCGATTCCGAATGTATCCGTGCACCGATTTTTCACCCAATGGATGGTTGGTCTCCATTCTTCACCCCACCATCTCCCCTCCCCAAAATACACACACACCAAAAAAGAAAGACCCCGGGGAGGAGACGGGAGCGCCGGGTAGCACGAGCGAGTGCGTCGCTAAAAGGAGCGCAGACGAGGAAGGTGGGCGGCGGGAGGGGGACAGCTTGCACCCGGGGAGGAGGGCACTTCGCAACTCCGGACGGACTCCCGGAAGGCCGGGCTTTTCAAAGCAGAGGGACGAGGGGGAAGGGGACAGAGGAAGCAAAAAATGACAACCCGGGGCGCAGAACGTAGTTTGGGGTTCTGCTCAAGTGCTGTCGCTTTCTCCTCCTGCCTTTCTCTTTCGCTCCTCTCCCTCAGTACCCCCTCCTCCGGTCCCCTACCCACGGCCGTCTCGAGCTTCCCTTTTTTTTTTCTAAGCTGAAAAAATAAAAAGAAAGAAAGAAAACTGACCCGCGCACTCAACCTGAGGGTCGGAGGTCTGCTGCCGGAGCGGTCTGGGCGTGGGGACAGCGGACGGCTTGGTGTCCTACCTGCTGAAGTTCGTCCTCCCCTCCGCGCGGACCAAGGCCCCGGGCGCCCCCCGCGAGAACGGCGGCCTCGCTCGCAGGCTCTGCCCGGCTCCCGCCCGCTCTGCCTCGCTCGCTCCCCGCCCGCCGCCTCCCTCGCGCGCCCGCTCGGGTCCTCCGACTCCCACTACAGCCTCATTCCAATATGGCATCCTCTCTGTGCGCATGCCCGGCACTCTTTTTTAAGATTATTATTTTGCGTGTGTGCAGCGAACTCCTTCAACGACCTTTTCCAGCGCTTGCAGAATGTCTTAAACCAATTAGCCTGCGGGATGTTCTCGACTCCTTCCACGGCCCCCGAGCCTCAGCACACACACACGGGCACATTTCACGGTCACGCGGCCCCCTCGCCGGCCCACTCCCCTTCCTCCTTCCCCAGAGCTCCCTCCGTACACAACCTACAGAAAGTTCACATCATAGGCTTTTCCGCAAACCCATCTGCAGGAAAATCTGGGCACACTCCGCACCTCACTGGACACTTTGTTTTCTCGATTTGCAAGTCCTCGGTCGACCAAGGGCACAAACTTGCGCTTTATCCGCCGGTGGCTCTTTTGGACCACGGAGAAAATCAGTACTCTGAGCCACCTTTGCCCCGCCCCCTGCACCCCACCCTGCACTCAAATTGAGTCTTTTCCATTGAGATTAAAATATTTCCTGCCCCGGTAGGGATGGCAAGAGGGTGTCAGGGAGAGATTTTTCACGGAAACTTGTCCCAAGGGGGAGAAAATTAAGTTGGGGCTGCTCGGGCGAGCTTGCTGCTGGGATCTGCCAGGGCTGGACAGGACGCAGTTTACAAGGGTGGCCTCGGCGTCTCCTGGGGCAATGGCCAGGCCTGAGTGCGCAAAGAGGTCAGCTGTTGTAGGGAAGGAAAAGAACCCTGCCCGAGTTCTCGTGGTCCTCAGCAACTGTTAGAATAAAAGGCAGCGCAGGCGGGAGCCCGACAGGGTGACCGCGGGCCTGTGCGGGTCCGCGGGCTTCTTGCCCCGGACGTGGGAGGAGGACAAAGAGGAACTCCCCGGGCCTAAAGTGCAATGGCTGGGCAGAGATTGAACGAAATATCCCCAATTCGTAAAAGCTGGTGATGCCCAAGTGGACAAGGATGAGAACTTCCGAAGGTAGACTTCGCTGTACTGAAGATCGAGAAGATGCTGGGGGCTTTAATTTATTTCCCTGGGAAAGAGACAACGGATAGGTTTCTTCAGGGTTTTTGCTCTATTGCCACAGGGGATGCAATTCCTCCGAGTTTCTCAATTCTGTATCAATCTCTTTCCTATGAACCCCTCACGTGTTACGGCGAGTTTCACTCGGACTGCGCGGCCTCCTGCGTCCCTGTGCGTTCACAGCTCCTCCCACCCTCCCGCGCCCCGCCACCCCCACACGTCCTCGCGGACCCTGAAGCTCCGCGAGTGAGATCCACGGAGGAGAAGAGGACGCTCGAAAGGGCTGCGAACAGGGCAGGAACCCAGGGATGGAATCAGCAAGGCAGTCTGACCGCGCACAGGACCGGTGGGAGTCCTGCCACGTGGATTCTTTTCCCGACGTAGGGGCCGGGCTGATCTGAAGGAGCTCCGAGGGACTTGCCGGGAAACCGCTCTCGCCCGGCCACGATGTCGGGGGATTGATGCTTTGCACGAATGGCGAAGCTCGGAGATCCTCGGAGGGCGTCCGAGGCGGTGAGACCCCGCGCAATGGGGAAATCGTATTTCCTTGCATCTTGGAAAGCGCTTTACGACGTATGAAACGCCGTCCTGTCGGTGCCACCTGAGGTGCCACCTTGAAACCCAGAAAAATCAAGCAATTCACACAGTTCAAACTCTAGCCCAAGAAGGCTTCACCTCCAGCTTCCCTGTCCCCTCCTCTTGGAGATATCGTGCCAGTGTTCCGAGCCCTTTAATTTGCAGGCCACCGAAGGCAGAGACTTCTTAAACCAACCGTACTCCGGCCTCCGCGTATTAACCCTCAACCGCAGCCCCGAGCCGCCGCGGTCTGTGCCCTGGGACGGCTCCAAAGTGAGTGCGACGAACCAACCGCATCTCGGAGGAACCCAAAGTGTGGACTCCGGGAACCCCGTGGCTCTACCTACCCCTGGATTTCACACGCCCAAGTCACTTGTTCATCGCGTGTCGAAACACGCAGTGTGGCTGGGAGGAGGGAGAGGGACTTACAGCGCAGGAGACCCAACCCTCGCACGGTTCCCCTCGACCGGGTCACCAGCTCCAACTCTGCGGAAGCGCTGAGAGTGCGGCAGCCCAAAGGCTCAGAGTGCGGATCCTCCTCCAGCCAGTGCCGCTCCGAGCCCACGCTGCTCCCGCGGCGGTGGCGGTGACCCTGCTGGAGGACACGCCGTCTTCACCCTCCCAGTAGAGGGTGACCCAATGGATCAGGGCGATCCAGAACTCGCGGCTCCTCTCAACCTCCGAGGGGACAGAGGATCTCTCTTCGTACCCACTACCTCGTAGAAATTCCGGGCGGTTCCCATTTAAAGAACTCGTATTCCCTCCCACTCCACAAGCTGTGGCTACAAGTAGGCAGCCAGCCATTGCGCCGTCTCCAGGCTCGTTTGCAGGTTGTAAGTCATTATTATGCACGGAATGCTGTTTCATCAAAATAAAAAA